AATATTCTGTTGAATTGCTCATTAGCTGGGAGGGTACTATTATTAGTGGTGTTAGTAAGGATTTATTGAGTACTAAAAGTGAGAATGGAATTATACGTTGAATTGGTTTTTGAGGTCTTTTTAAAAAAAATTGTTTTATTGTCATCCATTTCTTTCACATCAATTTTATAGGACCTCATATTCATTTTCTTCCATAACAAATTACCATCTCTGCCACAACAAATTACCAGAAACTTTGAGGCTTAAAACTACACAAGTTTTTCATTTCACAGTTCAGTAGGTGAGCAGTCTGACGTGGATCTCACTGGGCTAAAGTCAAGGTGTTGGCAGTTTTTTTTTCTGGAGCCTCTAGGGGATAATCCATTTCCTTGCAATCCCCAGCTTCAAGAGGCCACCTACATTCTTTAACTTATGGCCCTCATCATCCTTCATCTTCAAAGCAATGGTTGGTTGCTTGAATTTCTCTGGTGTCATTTTCCCATCTCTGTGTGATGCAGTTGGGAAAGGGAAAAGACTCTCACTTTTAAGAACTCATGTGATTAGATTGGGCCCACATAGATTATCTAGGATAACTCTCCATCTCAAGGTCTTTAACCTTATCTTGTCTGCAAGGTCGTGGTTTTTTGTTTTTGTTTTTGCTTTTTTTGCCATGTAAGGTAATATATTTACAAGATTTGGGAATTAGGATATGGGTCTCTTTGATGCATTATTATTCTGACTACCACAGAACCCGAACATCTTTCCAGAATACTATTACACTAATGTAAAACTTTTATGGTTAGAAGAGTATAGGCATGATTTGAATTAATGCTGAGAAATTTCTTCAAACTCTTATCTGCCATTACCTGTTGAATATATTTTCTTCGATATTTTGTAAGCACCTTGTTAGCTTTTGCTATGTAACAAACCAGTTATTTATCATTGCCCACATATCTATGGGTCAGCTGACATAGGCTGGGTTTGATGGATGTCTCTGATGACCTTGGCTGGACTTGCAGTGCATCTGTAAGTTTGCAGGTCAGCTGAGAATTGTCTAATGTAGCCTGGGGCTCTGTGGAGGCAGCTCTGTTACACATGTTTCTCATCCTCCTACCTTTGAGCTAGCCTAGGCATGTTCTTCTAATGAAAATGGCAGAAATGCAAACACGAAAGTAGAAACATGTGAAACTTCTTTTGGCCTAAGCATAGAGCAGGGAAACTGTCATCTTTGCTTTATTCTGTCAGCCAAAAATAGTCACATGGCCAAATAAAGGGGCTGGGAAATATACTCCTCCTCTTTAGTGGGAGGAACAGCAAAGTCATTTAGCAAGGGGCTTGAATGGAAAGGAGGTAAAGAATTGGAACCAATGATACAATTGACCCCATACTCAAACTTTGTATCCCCCAAACTGAACTAATCTCTGTGACTACCTCCTTCACCAGAAACCTGTTTTGCCTTCTTTATTTATGATCTTAGTTAGTGATTCTATTCTATGCCTAGTCACCCAAGCCAGATACCTAGGAAGTATTTTGGAGTCCTCATTTTCTCCTTTTCCCATCTTCAATATTTATTTATTTATTTTTTTGAGACAGGGTCTCACTTTGTCACCTAGCTGGAATGCACTGGCATAATCACAGCTCACTGCAGTCTCAGACTTCTGAGCCCAAGTGATCTTCCAAATCAACCTCCTAAGTAGCTGGGACCACAGGTGTGTACCACCATGCCCAGCTAGTTTTTTTAGTTTGGTAGAGGCAGGGTCTTGCTATATTGTCCAGGCTGGTGTTGAACTCCTGGCCTCAAACAGTCCTCCTTCCTTGGCCTCCCAAGGTGCTGGAATTATAGGCGTGAGCCCTCGTGCTTGGCCCAGTATTTAGCTTGACAATTATTCTCTAATCTGCCATCTTTTCCAGTCTTATTACTGTTGCTACTCTGGTTCAGGTTCTCATATCTCTGAAAAGAAAGGGAGGGAACAGACTCTCAATTGTTTTCAATCCTACTTCCTTCAGATCTATCTCTTATGTTGCAGCCGGAATACTCTGCATAAAATACAGATGTCACTCCTATTTAGTGACTTCTTATTACCTCTAGAGGATGCCCCCTATGCTGTCTTTTCTAATCTCATCTTCCACTCTTGCCTGCCTTCTCTTTTACCGTTTTAGTTCAGAAGTCAGCAAACTTTGGCGAGTGAGCCAATCTTGTTTACCGACTATATTTGCACTACAGTGGCAGCGTTGAGTCATTGCAGCAGAGAACATATGGCTTACAAAGCTAAAACGTTTACTCTCTGTCCTTTACAGAAAAAGTTTGCCAACCCTGCTCTAGTCATGTAGAACTTATAATAGCTTCCTTCTTACACTATTTTATTTTATGCCTCTGTACTTTTTATTATGTTGTTTCTTTACCTGACTCTTATTTTTTAAATAACAGCTTTATTAAGCTATAATATAATTACATATCATACAGTTCACCAATTTAAAGCATGCAGTTCATTGGTTTTTAGTACGCTTACAGTTGTGCAGCCATCACTGTAATCAGTTTTAGAGCATTTTCATTGCTCTCCCAAAAAACCCCATGCCCGTGAGCATTCACTTCTTGTGCCCTAACCTCCTCTTCTAGCACTAGACAATCACCACATCTACTTTTCAGTCTCTTAGGTTTGCCCATTCTTGATATTTGGTGTAAATGGAATAATATGTGGGCTTTTGTGACTGGCTTCTTTCACTTAGCTTAATGTTTTTAGGGTTCATGCATGTTGTAGCATTGATCAGTATTTCATTCTTTTATTAATTGCTGATTAATGTTCTGTTATATGGACATATCATATTTTATGTATCCATTCATCAGTTGATAGATATTTGGGTTGTTTCTACTTTTTGGCTGTTATGAATAATGCTGCTAAGAGCATTTGTGTACTAGATTTTGTGTCATATGTTTTCACTTCTTTGGGTTGCTGACACTTCCTTATCCATTAAAAATTGACTTTGGGGTCATTTCCTCTATAACTTTTCCCTAGCCTCCTAGGCTGGATTGAATGTCTTTTCTGTCAGGCTCTGATGATGCTCTTGTATTACTACATAATATTGAAATGACCTGTTAGTATGTCTCTCTGCTCTACTCTTCTGTAAGTTTCTGGAGAGCAGCGTCAGTGCCATAATTCAACTTATTCTTAACTTCAGACATTAGAAAAGTTCACTTCATGTTTGTTGAATTAGAAAAACTGTAAAGCAATCTATGCTTTTGAATTAAAATATAATTCATCCTTTTTTTCTTTCATGTTCATTGGCTTTTTTAAAAAAAGTCTCTTAGAATGTATATTGACCTAACTCAACTTTATTTTCTTTTAAGGTCTGCAAAGAAAACAAAAAATGTTGCTAAAGAAAAAACACCAGATGAGAAAAAAGATGAAATAGAAAAAATAAAAGCATATCC